ATTCGACGAAGTACTCGCGGACGAGGTTCCGCAAGGATGAAGTTGCCAACTCTATTCCGGGAGGAGGTTTCCGCGTTAAATAATACAAGCAATTACGACAACGCTAAATTAACCGGCAATTTCCTTCCGCCGCCGGAGGAAACTTTGTCAAAGATCCCGTTTAACGAAGTGTTCAACTGTAACTCAGTTGTGAGAGTAGTTTCTTAAGACGCGCGCGCGCGCGCACGCGCACACACACACATACACACACTAGGCGAATAAATCGCATCGTTGTTCGTTGTGTACGTCCGCGACGATAAATCCCGCGTGTTTTTAACGAGAAATGCGACTTGGCGTATCAAATGGCCGCGCGCTCTATTGTTTCGTTCATTGGGGCGCGATACAGCGCGGCGTTTTCAGAGGCGTCGTCGCGACGGAGTAACGCGCAATTGCCGGCGTCCGACGCGCGTTCGCGAATCAATACGCGCGTTTTCATCGGCGGCCGTAAATTTTCTACGATCATCATCGTTCCGCGTACGATATCCGCCGCGAATGCAAATTGCCCGCTTACACGCGAGCCCGAGGCGAATAAGCGCAATTGCGGAAGTGGTCGTATAATAGAAAACTGGCAGTAAACTCTCTCCCGAAGCGCGAACGACGCAGAGAGTGCGGTTCTCTCCCGCGGGAACGATCGTCATCGTTGTCGTCGTTTGGGTTGTTGCTTCGACCGGCGGCGGCGGCGGCAGCGGCGGATTAATCGCGCGGGGTCGCTCGCGAAATTGGCGTCGTAACAGCCCCGGCACGGAACGTCCGCGACATACGTCGACGAATATTGCCGCTTTATACATGAGAATTACGTGAGAATCGCGATCGGCGGATAACGTATATGTGTATACGTTTGTGTGTGTTATTATCGAACAACGTTCAAAACTGGCATCGCCAATTTACGCGAGCGCGTTAATATTTTATTTCACTCCCTCTGTTTTGACGAGCGCGACAATCGTGTCACGATAAACGCGAAATGCGTGACTCAGTCACCCTCTCGGAATGTAAATTGTTTCGTTAGTCGGCTTTTCGATCGCCGACGAATTACACGTGTAATTGTGACGATTGTAAAGAGTCGGCTTAATTTTGTTCTTTCAGTTTGGAAAAAGTTGATCGTACGGTTACAGTTTTTGTTTATCTTTTTTGCGCCAACATGGATCTTGCGTGTCGCCGAAGTAATAATCACCAATTAGCCATACCGTTGTGCGGTATTTGCGCTTTAATGTCATATTTTATTTTTAGTTTTAACCTTTAGACGATGTGAACAAAAAAACACAAGAGATTAAATACGAATGAATTATAAAATATATACAACAAATGCGTTGGATGCGAGATGAGTTTTTACAATCTGATGAGTGATTTTCAGTCCCGACGAGTGCAAAAAAAATAATCCGGTACGATTCGAGCAGAATCGGTTTCGTTAAAAATTTGTCACTTCATTATCGCGAACGCCGCGTTAGTGTGATGTGGTAAACCGTTTCGAGCTCCGATAGTGTCTTCCTTTAGCAAATTTGGAATTACTCTTATCCCGTGGGAGCGAAGAGAGAGAGAGAGAGAGAGAGAGAGAGAGAGAGAGAGAGAGAGAGAGAGAGAGAGAGAGAGAGAGAGAGAGAGAGNGAGAGAGAGAGAGAGAGAGAGAGAGAGAGAGAGAGAGAGAGAGAGAGAGAGAGAGAGAAAGAGAGAGAGAGAGAGAGAGAGAGAGAGAAAGAGAGAAAGAGAGAGAGAGAGAGAGAGAGAGAGAGAAAGAGAGAACTTCAACTAATTATGGAGGTTATTTAACACTGAAAATTAAAGGATTCTGGCAAACTCGGGAGAAGCAAACAGACGACGAAACTTTGTTCTTCAGTTAATTTCAACGCGTACACTATATATTTTAACCGGATTTCAACTTAAAATTTTGTTACCGCGATGTCTAATCACGAAACGTCCCACAAGGGATTTTCAAAGAAATTCCATTCCTCTAAATCATGGAAAAGGCATTAAAGTGGGAGAGTAAAACTTTTTTCGCGAAATCTTCGTGCAGTTTTTTCAATGCCGATCTTTTTCTTTCCACGAACGAACCGCTTTCTCGCATGTGTGTGTGTGTGTCAGTATGTGTGTGTGTGTGTAAGTTATTCGCAAAATGCGCGCGCGAGCGATATAAAATTTATGTCCCGACTAAATCACAATATATGCGCGGAGAACGCATCTCTTGACTGATCGCCTGCAATATATCCCGGCGATGTCTCAAGATGCCGGTTGCGTGTAATCCGCGGAAAATCCAATTACACGGAAGCCACCGCAAACTGCAGGAGCGTGTCAAATCTAATTCGCGTTTCTCTCGCTGCAAAATAACAAAAACAAGAACACAAAAAAAAATTCACAAGTGCAGAGAGGGGAGAGATAGTGCGCCACCGAAGTGAGTTTACAACACACCAAAGAACTCTCGCGAGGGGGATAACTCTCGAACTCTCGAGAATAAGTTAGTACGAATGTTGCGCGGAGTCTTTTGCCGACGCGCGAGTTACAACTGCGCCAGAATTTACGTTCGGAGAATACTTCGAGATTGCGAGAATTCCGGATAACTGGCGTAAGTTGAAGAAGAGAACTCCGGAAAAGTTGCTCCGTTTCCGGTCGTATTCGGGACAAGAAATCAAAGAACGACGCGCGCGCGCGCGCGTGTTCAAATCCGATAAATAATAAGCGCAAGGACGAGATACATACATTCTCCTGCCTGTCGTAAATGAAATCAGTCGTAATTGAATAAAGACTATATCGAATAATCGAGCGAGACTCTCTCGTCGGGAGTTTAACGTGTTCGACACACGTACACGTGTTAACAAAAAAAAAAAAAAAAAAAAAAAACGGGCTCGAACCCGAGAATACACGCGGTAGACACGAGACGACTGTATAGTTGCGGGAGTGTTCGAATACAATATCTCAAGTACACGCGGCGGAACGGGACGCGCGATTTACATTTTATCTAGATATTACGCCATACATGCGATATTGTGTGCGGTTTATTCGCGGAACACCGGCGTTTAACTTTTTTTTTTTCCGCCGTTTCGCAACGCCGTTTAAGAAACAACACGCGCGTGACGTGAAGAAATATATCGGAAGTCTCTGCGGAGAGACTTTGCATGGGAGGGAGAAGAGATATCTTCTTCTCCGGAACGTAACAATGTGTATATCTCCTCTATATCGAACATCAACGACGATCTCCCCGAAGTTATCTCCTCACTGATGGATTTGTTGTTTGATTTACATACATTGTTACACAACGGTCAATTCCCAACGGTAAATAATGTCGTATCGCGAGAAGTTGAGAGGGGTCGAAATGTCATCAAAAAATCATGCGATGTTTTCCCCGTACGAGCTCGGTCGAGAGAAATTAGAGTATCCGAGAGATGATTAACGAAAGAGAGAGAGAGAGAGAGAGAGAGAGAGAGAGAGAGAGANAGAGAGAGAGAGAGAGAGAGAGAGAGAGAGAGAGAGAGACAGAGAGAGAGAGAGACAGAGAGAGAGAGAGAGAGAGAGAGAGTTCCTTTATATAGCGGCTTAACGACCGAGAGCACATACGTCCCGGATCCCATAATCCCAAATGTAATCTGCTCGGTCTCTTCCTCTCTTTCCCGTCCGAAGGGACATTTTTTTTGCCGTCGTGCGTCGTCGATCGATCGACGTCCCTTCACGTGCGCGCGCGTGAGATCTTCGCGCGCGAGAAAGAAAACCGGAAAACGCGCAAACTTGACGTATATTAAAATGAAGGCGGAGGGAGACAAATATTTGCCCGACGGGAATCGTAACGACTTCGCGTGGGTTATACAGTTTCCGAAAATGTACACGCGAGCACTTGAGCTTCTCGCCGGTGAACAAAGACCCATTCATATTTGGTCGAGCACACTTGACAGAGAGAAAGAGAGAAAATGCTCTTGTGCTTACATTAAATAATATTTTGATTTACTTTCTTTCGGAATTACGAGATTTACAAACAAAAAAATCACGCTCAATTTTCGAACGAACGTTTCATTTTCGAAAGTGTTTTCCGTCGCGTGTAAATATGAAAACGCTCTTCTCGTTTCTTTCTAAGAATTTTCTCTCCCTCGACCGCTCGAGAGAGAGATTTCCATTGTATTAAAATAAATGTCGAGTCATAGAAACGCAACGATCGAAACACAAAGAATGAAGAATATCTAAAGAACCGAAGCGTGTAAAAGTGAAGTTATCTTTTATTTCGTTTTTCTTTCTCTCTCTCTCTCTCTCTCTTTCCCTCACTCTTTCTTTCCCGCTTTATTGAATTCCGATATATTGCATATCGCCCGTGTTGCGCGCTCGTTCGATCTCTGATATTTATCGGTAGCCGTACAATGTGATTGTTATGGAAGAATATTATACCGCAAGAAATTGCGAAAGCATTTCTATGGCGCGCGCGCGCGCGCGCTTTCTGTATCGCTCGAAAAACATTAACGTTTCAAGATACGTTCGCGGAAACCTCGACGAGATTCGAGTCGCGAATCGATCTTATTATTTTACAATTATTTGCGCGCGCGCTATTGCATTCTAAATGTTCCGCTTGGTTGAGAATGTTTTGTAATTTTCACGCGCGATTTCATCGCGTTAAAGAGAGATAAGCGGAGGCCGTCCGACGAAAGCGAGAAATATTCACTAGCGATGCCCGCCACGTAACGCGCGGATACGTACGAGATCGCGTCACGTGCGGATCATTCATCATCTCGCACCTCGAAAACGCCTACACCTCCGATTAAGTTCCAAGACTCGTTCCGTTGATATCGATTACCAAACTCAATTTAATCATCCCCTAATGACGTATTCGAGAATGGCACGTACAAAATTAGCATGTCTCTCGATCGAGACGCGACAACGGAATCGGGACGATTAATATAGTTTCTTGTTCGCGATGTGTCGTATCGAAACTCGTCAATCGAGCGAGAGAATATATACGAAAAAAAATCCAATTGAACACAGGAACGACTTACCGATATTTGGATGCTGCAGTTTTCTACATATCCGCGCCTCTCGCTCAAGTTTCTGGAAATCTGCAAAATAGAAAAGTTAACTCGATTAAAATCACACACGTACAAAAATGAATTATAAATAAAAAATCGAACACACCACTCATGCGCTTTCTATAATTGTCGATCGCGAGTTTCTTTTTCGTCGCAAACGACCCCGAGACAATTTGATCTCTCGCGCAAGGTTAACTGCGCGGCTCTCTCCGCCGCCGCGGCTGGAACCGAACGATCGTCTCGAACGTTCGTGAGACACGGAATTGAATTTTTCGCAACGAGGTCCCTCGACGAGTCCTTTTTCCCCAAAGCTAATTCACTCTAAGAGACATCTTCAGAAGATTGCATTTTTTTTTTCTACCAACGCGACGAAGTTATTCTGAGGCTTATTTCCTGTTATCTTTTTACGTGCGCCTCTCCTTCTCTCCCCCTCACTCCGCGAAATCGACGATCGATCTCTCTCGCGCAATACATATTTGAGCGTTGCTTGATGAAAATAGCTCGAGACGCGGCACGACCCGACATAGAATGTCACAACAAAGTGCGGAATAATATATATATCGGAGTGTAAAGGTCTTTTTCTCCTTCTCTCTCTCTCTCTCTCTCAAAAATATAGGTAGATATTTTTACAACGTTGTAAAATATTTTTTGAAACTTCGAATATTTTGGAACTCGCAATTTTTGAAAGTCGAAGAAATAGGACGCCAACTCGAAACTCCGAAATTATTCTTCTCACGATGCTCTCTTTGTGTGTGTGTGTGTGTGGAACTCTGTGTGCTCAGACTGCAGCAGAAAGAAGCGATCTTAAAATGCCGGAAGCGACAAGTGCGCGGCCGGAAAAAGCGAGGAAACACATCGGGCAAATTGGTGAACAAGCCCTCGACAAAGACTCTCTGTGTTTTTCGCGGGGGAAAAAACTAGGTTACCCGAGTCGCAATCGAGTTTTCCGGCCGCAATATGCTAAAGAGTTTGCTCGTCGTTTACGAGCCACGCGGGGGAAGATGATTATCTCCCGCGAAGCATGCAGCGGGGCAAAAACTTGGCGCGTGTGCGTGCGCGAAACAGCGTCGACAAATCGACGTCTCGGTTCTTTTTTCGACCGAACTGACAACGATGACCGGTACTTTGTGATCTTACGACCGATCGTAGAGGGTGCAACGCCGATGAGAAAAGACGTTGCGAGTTTTTTTCCTCTCCCCGTGAATCGATAAAATTTTCCCTCGGCGGCTGTCTCGACGCGTTAAATCGCATTTGCGTGCGAAATAATACATAAAGCAACGATCGTTCGAGAGCTTGGCGTTAACGCGTGTTTCTCTCGTGAAATATTAATTTCCGCGCGTCCGATCGATGTGGAGAAACGCCTATCGCGACCCGTTTAACATGATAATGAGAAAATAAATAATAATAGAAAATAAATGAATAAATAAATTTGATCTTGTCTTAAGAAAGTAATTTTCTACCGAATGTTTTTTAATAAATTCACGAGTTTATTGCGGTGAACTCGTGTTTACGTACGCGCTACTAATATGTACGGATACACAAATATCCTTCAAGAAAACAAATACTAAATATTTCACGTCAACCTTACAACTAGCTTTCGCGAGATGGAAACTTTCATACTTCCACGTCAATTTTGCTTCTCTCGCGAAGAAGTTGCGGAGAATAATTTCATGTCGAAGAGATGCGATCTTATTACGGTGTTATTTGTTGACGTGTATGACGTTTACCGCAATTTAATTAATACGAAGATAACGGGCTTTCCTATTGATGTCACGCAGACAATTTGCTTCCGGAGAAACGCAATCTCTCTCTCTCTCTCTCGCATACGCAACGAGATGCGGCAAATTGACCGACGAAATTCTAGCGGCGTTTGGCAGGCCTCAAGAGAAATGACGTGCCTCGCACCGTAGCGCATCATCATAGACGCAATCAATTGCAACTTGATCAGTTGCGCTCTTGCGACGTGGAAAAAAGAAAACAAACAAAAACTTATAAAGTTCAGGACGTATCGATTATATCTCTCGAGACAAGAGTACGACAATGTCATCTTCGTTTTTCTTCCGATTCTTCCGCGCATTCCTCGCACGTGCGAAATTGAGTTTACTTTACGTAAGGCTCGTCTCAGTCCCGCGCGATCTTTTCGTTCGCTCGCTTATATCTTTGAACTTTATCTCGAGAGTCGTTGTTGTTCGCCGTCTTCGGGGCGCGCGTCACATCGAGATTATCGCGTCTTACGTAAAACAAGAAAGAAAAAAAACAATTTGAGTTACATAAGAAAATATACGCGGTTGCGTAACGCGATCGTTTGCGCACACAACTCGAAGGGCGAGGAAACGCCTACTACGCAAAGTTTTTCCCGGACGCGCTTATCGACAAGCGTTAATCTCCCGATGAGATGCAAAGGATCGTCCCCGTGAGTGGGACGAGAACCAGGCAAATCCGGGATCTTCCTCCGCTCCGAGAGAGGAAGGAAGGAAGGAACGAATTATTTAATTACTTGGCATTCAGCCGAGCCGCGCGGCTGTTCGCTAATCGATAGAGGCGTGTCTGGAGAGAACAGCCCTTGCGATCACCTTCACCCACCCGATAATCATCCGCGATCCATAAAAATACGTATCTATAAAAAGAAAGAAAAATTGCGAGCGAGAGAGAGAGAGAGAGAGAGAGAGAGAGAGAGAGAGAGTGAGAAAGAGAGTGAGAGAGAGGAAGGTTGCGCAGACGCTCTCTCGCACGCGTGCCGCTTCACGAACGGATCACTTCCAGGAGGCTACGCGGCAAACGGGCTCGTTGGAAAAGAATGTATCTTCTTATTTTTATCTCGTTATAGAGCGGCTTCTTCAAGAGTGCGCGTGCACACGCCCTTTTTCATAGCGCCGCTACCCGCGTCTACGTATCGGAGCACAATTTTTGCATCGATAATCTATACGTTAAAAAAAATGTTGAAGGAATTTAATTTAACGTTTGTGTTTCGCTCTTCTGATAATCACTGAAACGACGAACCACGCGGTATTCTCCTCACGCATGTGTGAAATCTCTCTTTCTCTCCTCCCGCGTCGTCTTTGCGTCGTCGGAAGGTCTGATCTTTTCCGTCGGCAAGGCCGATCCTTGAAAGGCGTCCATCCGACGACGGCGTGTGTACACGCGCTTCCCATCCAATGGAGCACGAATGTCACAAAAGTGTCACTGATAAAAACCAACCGCGGCTCGCTCGGTTACAAGTCGATCGTTGCGCGAGGCGATCCGCTGGAGAAAGTAACGCGACAGAGGGGAAGAAAACCACCCTTGTGATCCGTCGTGCGTGATAAGGCTTATCGAACCTTGTGTGATGCATTTCTTCGATCCGAACGGCAACGCAAGCGTCGCGCGTATCGTCAGAGAAAAAACCGGTCTTTTTTTCATAGAGGGAGAGAGAGAGAGAGAGAGAGAGAGAGACAGAGAGAGTCGTGGCAAAAAAAACTGTTTCCGAGCACATATCTCGGCTGAATTCGACGGAGACAATATTTTCCTTTCCGGAACACAAAAACGCGGCGGGGAAAAATAACACGACACAATTTACCAGAGTGTTCGGCAAAAAAATGCAAAACGTAATGTCGCTTTGTCGAACGAGCTCGTCTAACATATCGTTTGAAAGCGAACCGCGCGGCGATTACGTTCTCGAGAGAAAGACAAATATAAAGATCGAACGGAAAAGGGGGACACAGGCGGGAAACGCGGCGCGCGTGTTCGGTTCTCGAACATCGAGGAAGAGGCGGAGGGTCCAGCCTCCCCGTGATTCCCTTTGTGTGGTCCGCAACCGCGAATTAGAAATTCAAATGAACCGCACCGACAAAATTCCGGCCGTGCAGGCCCGAATTAATTATTCGTCGCGCCGAATTCCGCTCGCTCGCGCGAACGAGTTCGGCGAACAAATTTCTCCCGTACAATAACTTTCAGACGGTGAAATAAAAAAAAAAACAAAAAACAAACAAAACAAAAAAGTTTCCCTCTCGGATCGATTCCGCTCGCGGAATAAAAATGCCCGCAATGTGTATCGCGGGCGATTCGCAAACGCGGAAGGCGCAATTGATCTCGTTCGATTGTCTGCGACCGCGTATTTTATGCAGCACACGTTAAAGCTCGTTTTATATCTCGTTTTATTTCACGGCTCTTTTGTACATTATCGGACCGACCGACGCGCGAGTTCATTCGTTTCTATTTTTCTGTGAAAAATCGCATTTTCGCACTTTTAAAAGTGTCAAACGTAATTGACGGCGAAGAAAAGAGAAAAAAATGTGAATATAATTACAGATTGTCACACGCGCGAGAAAAAAACATCCATAGAGAGAAAGAGAGAGAGAGAGAATGAGAGACGAGAAATTAAATCAATTAATCTAATAAATTAAAAAATCGCGCGATAGAATAAAAATTAAAATACATTACACAATTAACGCAATTTGTTTTATCGTGCGCGGTTCTCATTCTCTCTCTCTCTCTCTCTCTCTCTCTCTCTCTCTCTCTCTCTCTCCCGTCTTTGTCGCGATTTTTGTGCTCTGCGTTTCTCTCCGCCAATTAATTCAGCAATCGATCGCTCGTCATCGCGAGAACGAAAACGCCGCGGTGAAACTCTCTCCGCCGTGCGGGATTGTGCGTTCTGAATTAATTGCGAGCGTTGAAAAGCTCGCGAAAGCGCACGTAAGCGCCGCGGACTGCACCGCGGCAAATAAAGCGAAAGAAACTTCGCGCTTCGTCGTATACACAAATACGCAATACGGGTAAAAAAAGAGAGAGACACGGAGAAGGACAAAAAGAATCGCGTGTATATTGCGTCGTTTCCGCGCGCATACTTTCGGAATCGGAAATGACGGGAAATGGTAACCAGACGAGACGAGTCGCGAGGAAAAATCGGGGAAATTCCATCCAATCCCCCTTTTCCTCCTCCTCGTCACATAACGATTGGCTCGCGGCGAATCTCTCCACGCTGTTTACCCCTCTCCAGTCACGGGGGCTTTTATTCGTTGCGCGAGGCATGTATACGCCATATTGCGGACACCGCGACGGCCTTTGTTAGGTCAAGAGGTCACTGGAGCAAGGTCGTGGTTCTGAGCTGAATCGCACGAGCGAGCGATTCTTAACTGAAAGGGTGAGAGAACAAGAGGAGAGAGAGAGAGAGAGAGAGAGAGGGAGGATACACAAGAGTGAGAGAGAAAGAGATGCAGGGAAAGACAGAAGGAAAAAGAATATAAGGGGAGAGGGGAACGCGCTTCTTTTACCCCGGCCACCTTTTTACCTTTTACCCTCGCCCAGGCGCGGCGCTGCCGAAGATAGATTTATCTCGCCGCAGCGTGCCCGCAGAAAATGGCTATAAATTGAATGAGGGAGGAAGGAAGCGAGGGACGGAAACGAGTGCGGGCTTCGCGCGGAGGAAATTATGCAATTCCGAGTGCTCTCGCGAGTGGTTCGCCAGCGAAGATGAGATGGGCCTTTCCTTTTGTCGATTTGTTTTCTCTCTCTCTCTCTCTCTCTTTCTCTTTTGCTTTCTTAATGCATATCTGCGCGGAATTGAATCTTGATCAAACGACGCTGCTTAGTCCGCAGAAATCGCTAACGGCGATATACGTATATACACGTACTGTCTCAATTTTCTACAATGCGGGTGCTTCGCGACTGTCGCAACAGCCTGTGAAATACGCGTGTCAAAAAGTCGCAGCAAAAAACGGCGTCGACGTGAAATTTGTCGAAAATGTCTCACGCGTAATTCCGCAAAATTTATTCCGACAAAAACGCTATAAAAAAAAAAACGCTTTAGACGGGAGAGAGAGGGAGAGAGGGAGAGAGGGAGAGAGAGAAAGAGAGAGAGAGAGAGAGAGAGAGAGAAACGGAATTTAGAGCACGGGAAAGAGGATGCGCTCGCGAGTTGAGGCGCAAAGTTAGCGGAGAATCACGCGGATGGCCCAGAAAGTTAAATCGCCTGTTTTTTTTCTCCTCTGTCTCCTTTTGTCTTTATTTCCACGAGAATTCCTGCCTCGCCATTGCGAACGCGGCACGCGATCCTCGAGGATTCCTATCGACGTCCGAATTCTAAAGATGCAGTCACACACACGCGCGAGGAGAAACTTTCGAAACCACACTCGTACGCTGTTTACAATCGCAACGCGATTGTTTAGCCACCGTACCGTTCAAACTGCGTCAACTGCGAATATTACATTACGTTGCTCCTCGTTCCGACGAAATTTCTTTCGCGACGGTCAACCGCAGCGCGCGCGCGCGTGCATGCGAAACGATAACGACCGCAATCGCGCTGTGCACGCTCCGAAATTAGACGTGTTAGCATATCGTTCGCGTCAGTGCGTTCAAAATCGAATAATCAAAACAACACAACATCGCATTAATTGATAGATTCGGATTCCACTACCTTCAAACAATGTGGTATTTCTCTCTGAATTTGTTAGAAGCTTTTGTTTGTTTGTAAATTGAATCGTAAATTTACGTAACTACAGCGTAACTACAGCGCATCGCACTATGACAAATAGTCGGCAAATTACTGCGCTTTCCGAGCAATTATTTCGCAAGTAGATAAGAGAAGATAAAAGGCGAACGAAGGAGGAGGAGATATATCCCATGCACCCGAGAGCTCGCTAATTCGCCAATTCGCGAGAGTCGCACGTGTGGAAGAATAAGAAGTGGGGGAAGGCTTGAATCCTCTCGTTTTTCGATTACACATCACGCGGCGCGCGCGTTTCTTCCGTCTCCCCGGAGAAATGATGTTCTGGCCGCCTCCTCCTCCTCCGGCGCGGACGCTGGTACGATCGAATTTCAAAAGAGGCCAATATGTATTTTCTGGACCAGCGGTCGCCGTACGGCACTGGCAACAACTGTTTGGTCCCGCGTAGGAATGCCTGCCTTGGCAGACTGTCAACGCGCGCGCTCTCGCGCTTGTTTTTAGACGCGTAGTACGTACGCGCGCGATATATAACGCGCGTCAAAAAATTGTGGAAAACGCGAGAAGTCAAGTGGCCACTTGCTCGATCCTCACGATAACACGCGAATTGAAGACCTCGCGATTGCGACGGGGAAACAAAAGTGAAATAAAACGACAGATAAGAAAGCGATATATGTGACGTTAAAAAAATGAGAAAAAAAAGAGAACAAAACAATAAAACTTCTCTCTCGGATATTAATACCTTCGCGGAGTATGATAAATGACGGTACTCTGTTGCCGATGACACGTGCACAGATACGTCACAGAGAGAAACGCGGTAAATAATAAATTAGAATAATAGCGCAACACGCGTAGCTGTTTGCGAGCGCGTTCGAATCGCGAAAAAGTATAAAAAAAAAAAAAAAAAAAAAAAAAAAAAAAAAAAAAAAACAACTCCGCTTCTTTTGCGATGAAAATTTACGATGACATTTTTCGGGCGCGCTGTTGGCTCGGAAGCGTTGTTGGTGTTCCGGACATTTCTGCGGGAGACAACTTCGAGGAGGGAAGAGGGAAAAAGAGCCTGTCTTCTTTTCCGCGCCTCCGACCCGGCGATGTTCTATTTATATATTTATATACCGTGTTAAAGAAAGCGGAAAGCAACCTTTACATCGGTCGTACTGAACGAGCGCATCTGCTCCCGAATGGCGTATTCTACATTCGAGCCGTGGTGGAAAACGTCGCGAGCACTTTTAGTTAGGCGATGGAAGCTCCTCCTCTCGCTTGAAAGCTTCGTTTCATCGACATTCGCGCGCGCAATTTCACGTTCGCTGTACTTAACGCACTCTCTCTCTCTCTCTCAATTTCTGCAATTTTGTTGCAGCGAGAAACGCTCTTTTCTTTTGTACAAATACGAAAATTGTAAAATTAAGTTGCCGATAAACTAATAAATTGCAAGTGAAAAGAAAACAAGTTATAAAAATTACAACAAACAAGTCAACATTGAGAGACCCGCGATAATTTTGTTCTCAATTAGAATCTCCTTTGAGTTTTCTCTCCCCATTATAATTTCCCCCGGCAATATCCGATCTTTGACATGTTTACGAGCGAGTTTGCAAGACGTATCGAACGTACACGCGCGAGTTGTAACCACACAACAAGTATAGCGAACGAGTTTATCGGGCTTGTCTAACGTTAATGACTCATCGATGCGAGATTTGCGGATTTATCCGCTTATAAATACATTCTCCTTCTACCTCCCCTTCGTCGTTCTTCATCCTAGCGCGCGTGTTTGCACGCCGCAGACAAACTTCCAAATTACTCTGAGGGTTTAATACTCCACGTCTAACGTGCGTTATAACGGTAATATCGCACGCGCGCCACCGAACATGTGTGTAATCTCAAATTGCTGCGCGCTCTTCACGCACGCACGTGTGCACCAGGATGGCTCTTATTTACTTTTGGTGAAATTTTGTTTTTTTTAATGGCAAATAAGAGCCACCCTAGTCGTGCACGCACGAATTTTCGAGAATCGCGCGTGTTTGTAAACGCTTCTTAGAAAAACGCTTGGTTTTCCATTGGAAACGTGAATCGCGAAACGCGCGAGCAATCAACTCGACGCCGCTGAGCAAACGCGGAAAATAGATATTCAAAATCGTGTGCGAAACTCGAGTGTGCTCGAAAGAGAGAGAAAGAGAGAGATCCGTCACTTACCTCTATTCGAGAGCTTTTTGGTGTTTATGATTTTGGCAGCGAACTCGTGACCGGTGCTCTTTTGCACGCATCGTCGCACTACGGAGAAGGCACCTCTGAAACAAGCACGAAGGAAACAAAACGTTATTGCGTCGTCGTCGTCGTCGTTGTTGGTTGTTGTTGCGGCGTGTTGTTATTCAGACCAGAGAGGCGGAGAGAGAGGGATGATGCAATATGCAGCACATGGGCGGTGCCCCAACGGGTGCCCCGGGGATTAAAGTGCAATATGTAACAAACGAGTTTCAAATTCTCGTTAATTTATTGCGTCCGAAACCGCTGCCACGAGCTGCGAAATAATGTTCGAAAATGAAGAGGAAAAACCGAGAGACAAATAGATAGATAGATAGAGAAAGAGAGTTCGATCGGCGAGAATTTATGGCGCTCGATTGCGTAATATATAAACGCGAGCTCTGCGTTTACTTCGCGATTTATTATAATTAACCGAAAGATTGATAACGGAATTAATGCGCTCGCGGACAGGTGGGACCTTTTGAATCGCCGGTTGTGTCTCTCGTCTCTCGCGCGCGCGCGCTGGAATATTGCAAGCGCCATGAAACTTTTACGCATTAAGCAACCATCCGCGTTATTAGGCCAAATTGCATTTTGGTAATTAACATATCCATTATCGGTAGTATATCGCGATTATTAGTACCGATAGTAATTGCTTCCATTGACAGATGTTTCAATACGAAACAGCGTTATCGCATTAATGTTCCATTCTCTGTGTGCGCGATGAAATCGCTGATTCAACTAACTTAATACTTACAGAAACGCTTGCACACACACACACACACGCATGCATTACGCTTGAATTAACATTTCGCAGAGACCAGTGCGCGTAGTGTTGTGTCGTATGTAATAGCGCGTTTGTACACCGTCAAATATTTACTTACGACAATCGTGGCACGTGTTTGATCCCGGGGAAGCCCACCCCGCGTTCGAACGTTTACAAATCCTGACGCGCGTTACTTTTCACACCGTATATATATATAGATAACAAATTTATTATATGAAATTTATTAGATTAAGATCGCATTTGTTACATTAAAATCGAATTGCATTGAGTAAAAAAGTTACAAATTATATTTTTTATATCGGAAGAGACGAGTTGTGTGCGCGTGTGTGTTGTATGTTGATTATTTCGTCAAAGGATTTTTTATTTCCTCTCCGCCCGTTTCAAAAAGGGTATTATTTAATTCCGCGACTCAACGTCAGGGATTTGAATGACGACGTCACGAGATCCCGCGAGATCAGATTGATTCTCTACACAATTCGCTTTACACCTCCGCGCGTTTCTAAAAATGGACTCGTAACGATCGCGATTACGCGCCGGATGACGTCAAAAGTATTCGCTAAGCGGTTTTCTCGGTGAGGGAACAGTGGGAGGGAGAAGAGGAGGTAAAAAGCCGACTCCGACTAACGAGTGCGCCTCTCACGAGAGAGAGAGAGAGAGAGAGAGAGAGAGAGAGAGAGAGAGAGAGAGAGAGAGAGAGAGAGTGCGCGCGCGCGCGCGCGAAGGTCCCTTCCCAGAATTCATAGCCATGTATATCCGGGCGTCTCTTTAGCTAACCCCCGGGGGAGAGAGAGCTAAACTTTCTCGATTACCCATCCCCCCGGCGAATGGCGCCTATATATGGAAAACCGCGGAGAGAAACTTCCCCGCTGAAGTTTTCCTTACGTTCCCTGTCTCTCTTTCTCTCTCTCTCTCTCTTTCCTGTGTGTAGTGCCGTCGATCAAGGTGGCAGATTAGCGACTACCGATTGTGCCCATTGAGCGAGCATTCAGCTTCGGAGATCTAAATTGCCGCTTACTCTCCTCACCTCCCCCTTGAGCGCGTGCGTCACCGATTCCGGGCGAATATTACGCGAGCAAAAAAAAAAAATATCTGATGCTTATTGTTCGCGGGCGATCGTTCGCGCGTTTCCCTCGTCGCTTTTGTGAAGAGGAGAGATTTCGAGCGTGATAAAACGGCGAGAAAAGAGATTCTCCAATCGCGTCGTTCTGGAAACTCCACTGACTACGTCCGAGAATGCGGTAAAAACCAAAAAAAAAAAAAAAAAACCAAGAACTGATTGGAGAGCGCGAAAGATATAGTCGAGCGTGATTTTGTAAATCAAGTTCGCGTCGGTTTTTCAGCGAATGAATCGATCTCGCGAAGATCACGCGCGGTGAAACGAGCGAGAACTCGTCACGGTGCTCTCGCGCACCTGCGAATCGAAGAGGAGAAATCGAAAAAAAAAGAGACCGAAGAAACCGACCGGTGTTGACAGCTCGTTGGACGACGTCGTGTCGATGTCAGACGGCAGCTTGTACACTCGACCGAACCGATACGGACAGGGATAGGCGGTGATATAAGAAAGCACAACGACGGCACGCCTGGTAATTGGCTACGAATCGGGTAAAAGAACGAACGACGATGACAGCTCGACCGCAGTCCGTCACAAAGGAGAAAAGTTCACGATAGAAACTACCAATGGCGTATCGCGGATAACTCGGCGTGTCGCTCGGATAATTGACAGAAATTTATTGCCGCGACGACGATTCGTCCGCGCAAATCGAAGTCGTTAGAATCGCAGGTCGAACCGAGAACGATAAGTTCTAGGTTTGTTTCGTGCGCCCGTTAAAATACGCGTGTTTTTTTTTTTTTTTTTTATGAATAAACTCCACGTGAGGACAAAGATAAAAAAAAAATCACAGTCAGGATACAAACACTTCAAGGATTTTTATTTCCTTTTGTTTCGCTGAACATTTAGAGAAAAACGTCGTCTTCCTTCTCGCGACAAAGCGCAAATCGAATAATAAAACATTGCATTTGCCACGTCCTGCTCCGAGAGGCTTAACCTTGCCGGCGGGGGAGTGGAAATTCTAGGAGGCCGGCACTGAAGAGAGAAAGAGAAAGAGAGTCCTGCGGGCGTCGGCGCCGTGTTACAGTCGGCGATGCGACGCGACGCGACGCGTCGCGACGCACGCTACGACGGCCACGCCGCTCGGTCTGCCCGGAGGAAAAAGGGCGAGGCGGGTGCTTGGCTCGTCTCCATGGCGACCAATCATTACCGGAGATTGTACCAGCAGCTACCAGCGCTGCCGGCACCGCTTTTCCAACCACTCTCTCCCCCTTCCTCCCCCTTCCGCACTATCCCCGTCCATTCCCCCGCGCCTTCGTACCCGGGTAGCTTTTCCGCTCACGTGCTCTTTACGAGATTATACCGCCGAAGCACGACGACGATTATTTAATGTCACGCTCCCCGCGCATCATCCCCTTCGCGTGCACGTCAGTCGTCGCGACGTCGAAACTTTATGATAGCGCGTGTATCGATACTCGCGTCACAAAGATACGAAGCATCACACGTATATCTTGTACGTACTGGTTGAAAAAAAAAAATTGTTATCAACATCACATCAATGAGATATTAAATTCCAGTCGTTAAAAAAAAAAAAACAAGCTACGCGAGAACAAATTAAAATTAATGTGTCGACAAAAATGAATTATGCATTAGCGTGAAAATTTTGCAGAAGGGGTTGTGTTGTTTATTGCGGCGCTCGTTAATATTCGATGTGCAAAATTTGCGATCGTGTTTGGCGAGTGATCGACTTGGCCGTGGGACCAGACGACGTCGGTTCGTTCGGTTTGAACTAACTAAAACGAGCAACTGCGACGCGCGTGGTTCTCTCTCTCTCTCTCTCTCTCTCTCTCTCTCTCTCTCTCTCTCTCTCTCTCTCTCTCTCTCTCTCTCTCTATAACTCTGGCAGTA